AAATGCAATTTTTCGAAATACCTTCACAAAATCGTTTGCGAGGATTTGATATCATGGATTGCTTTCACTCTACTGTCCAAATATATCGAAATTATAACCCATTATCGACCATCTCGACCCCGACAGCAGGAGAGGACATGGAAGGTACTAGGGAAATTGCAAAGATAGAAAAATATACACAGAATCATTAAATATAGTGTATAATGCAAGAGGCTTGAGCACCCTGCAACCCTCGTCCAGGAGAAACGAAGAATCTGCCACGTATTCACGGCAGGAGAGAACATACGACCGATATGTGGAAGCTCCCGATGTCGAGTCTGTCCCACACTCTCTCCTGCAGAGGATACGTGGAGGATTCTTTGGTTTCCTGGGCGGGTCGAGGGGCGGCAGAGGAGGGGGCGTCATTTGACTATATGTTCACCAGTTCTCTGCCTCTTATACGTAATTTAGCCCCATAGTTCCCCTGGTACCGAGCATGCCATCCCCCTGCTATCGAGGCCGTGATTTAGGGTATGAGGGAGAGGGTAGTAGAGACTGAGAGGAATCCAATGGTATCAAAATCGTCGCGATCAGTTAGGTGAAAGTATGCCGGAAAAAAATTGCCCAAACAAAATTTACATTACTGACAGCCCAATCAAATCCTTCTATCGACACGACACAAAACGACTCACAGAGAAATTGCCCCAAGGGAGCCGATGGCAACGACCGCCACGACCACGCCGACGACAGAGATGACGATGACAACCTTGTCGTCTTTCGGGGGCGGATCTGGGGGGGGGGGAGAGAGGTTTATAACGGTTGATAAAGGTTAAAAGAAGAGTGTTTATCATGGTCTTTATGAAGGTACTTGGTAAACTATGCGATCTGTGCTATCATACGGTCGGTTTGTTATTATTCCCGACCTAAAGAACATTCATTATACAGACATATACATAGATATAAATGCATATATATCATTCTAGAAATACATATCTAGTAGATAGATAGGTAAGGGTATATCTAACAGAGAGGTAGGCAGATATATATTTATTTCTATGTATATGTATGTTTAATTCATCGGGTTGGGCCTCGCAAACTTTTAACGAACTGGACGACGGTGGATCGGTAGGGGCAGTGTTGACATTTTCGCGCTGTTTCCGCTAACTCTAGCGAATTCGAATGTCAGTTTGGCGGGGAAAATTAAGAAATTCGCATGAGTAACTAGTGATTTTTTCTTGTTAAATCTATTGGGAACTTTAAGGGCTTTACCTATAATGCAGATTTTTTAGGCACGCTTAGAGGATACTGAAAGGATCAGAAACAACATGGTACAATAGAGAGTTAAGCTTATAAATGCATTATTCGAAGACATATAGCAGTTGAAAAACGGAATAAATGAAGCGTATCGTACGTGGAGGAGAGTGCCAGGGCCCTCCAACAGAGCAAAGTAAGACAACAGCAATTTGCGAAGATGGAAACTCACCCGAAACGAAGAGCTCAGCGTCTCCAGACAGCAGAATTTCCTGGGTGTCGAGATTCTCACGTGACACAAGAACCCGGACCTTGTCACTAAGGTTGAAGTCAAGGTCGAGAGGCAATGGGCCTAGACACAGCTTTTCCTCGACATCAGAAACGGATGAGTGAGAGGACTTCGACACCATCTGTACTTGCCGACCATTGGCATCCACCGCCACGAACTTGTTCACAATTTTTTCTCCTTCGTTTTGTTTTCTCTTTTCACGACTTTCCATAAAACACACGGTAAGACCTCTTGTTTCTCCAGTTGTGGTCAGTGTCAGTTCTTTTATGTTTATTGCTGCGTGACATTGGAAGAAAGACAAGACACTACATAGAGTATGCTATGCTATTCCACAAAGACCAGTCATACTGGTAGATTTTCTTTCCATAATATCCAAATTAAACACAATTATAAGAAAATCACAGTGTGGGTATTAGTCTTAAGAAAATATATACAATCATTTAGATATGAAAACAAAGAAATATAAATGGTGACAAATGATAATACAAAGAGCTATAAGGTACTAAGCGCACTTACTTTCCAGAACAGGCTGCATCCTCACTGAGGCCGAAACATATTTATTGTCACCTTGTACCCTCACACTTGCCGTATAATCTTTGTTCAAATTCAGCGGGAAAAAGTAAGCCAGGCACACTTTGCTGTCTTCAGGCTTTTCACCTCCACAGATCACTGAAGTGCTGTCGATTTTGCCATCAGTTTCAGAAACAATTTCGACGTCGTATTCCTGATTTTGCGAAGCTCGCCAACGGACTTCGATGGCGTCCAATGTCAGCTGTTGAATTCGAGTCTGGAAATCTGGAAGGAATATGTTTTTTTTCTTTCTTTCTTTCTTTTTGTATGTGTGTTTTGTGACCTGATACCACCTCTAAGCGAATGTATATGAATTTATGTTATCGGCCCAAATGAAAGAAAATATGGTCACTTTACATAAATCAAAGAAAAATAATCACCTTCAAATTCCACAACGGTCGAGTCTTTCACAGTTGATTCGGAATCTAACGCCATCAGCAAAATCTTAAATTCCGTAACTTTTGGCTCAACCTTAAATGTGCAGGTCTTTGGAGACCGGCCTGTGATCTCACAGGTTAGCGGATTCGGTGTCAGATCCTCGGAGTTTGTGTAGAGTTTCGCTTCCATTGTGAGCGACGTTTCGGAAAAGTCAGCGGTGATCATCAGGTCCTCCTCAGGCACTCCGGTGAAACTGAGTTGAACCGACCGCTCGATCAGAGCTGTGAGAGGGAAAAATATTTGTTCAAACGTCTTATCTATGGTCATATAAATTTTCTAAGGTCACGTTTTCCTTTTTTATATGCCTTCTCCTCTCTTTTAATATTTTAATAACGCTCTGATGAAGTGGTGTTTATGCTTGCACGGCAGTGGATTAATACGTTACTTGGGCTGTGGCCTGGCAGTCAGTGATTCGACTTACGCTTGGACATGGCAGGCTTAGCCTGTGGAGCGGTAGGCTGTATGTATGCTGCCGTCATGTCACAATATATCCTGCAGACTTCGGGAGAGGATGTTTTCTGGCTCCAAATAGTAGCAGACTGTGCTGGCACACAGGAAGCCGTTCACTTTGACATCCATTCTCCCGTCTCCACTTTGAGGGACTGGAGGGCCTCTGTCCCCACTTTTCGTCATCCGAGGGAGCAATATATCTGGAGGAAGGTGGGAAGGAATGTGTCTTATGATGCTTGTGTTAGCCATGTCTCAATCATGATAGTAAGGAGCGCATTGACAAACAAAGATCAAGTAATGTTGAAAACAATAATAATCATATTGACAGTATGAATAACAACTCATGCTTGTGTTTAAGACTTTAGCATTACAGGTTTTGTGGTACAGAGGTGAACAAGTTACATTGCAAAACCCAAGATAGAGGTGCACGTGCCATTTGTACCAAGAAATTATACATTATTCTTTTACATGAGATGAATATTTTTTTATGGGATAGAAGCTTCATTTAGGAAGATTTCATATTTTTGCAGCTGAAGCAATTAATAATGTGAAAAGTATTGATTTCCCTGAACATCCTTCACCTTTTCCTCATGATACGTGTTGGTGGTGGCACTGCACGGCGCACAAAGCGAGCGAAAGACCGACATAAAAAAAAAAAAAAAAAAAAAAAAAAAACTAAAGCAGAGGAAGAGCAGAGGCCCTTACCTGAGAGGGTCACGTGCGCGCGGCCGGCCTCCAGCAGGGCCCCGTCGTCGTCGTATCCCACGACCAAGAAGTTCCAGTCTCCTGCGCCGCGCGAGGAAGCAGCCACGGAGTAGCCGGACTTCGAGGGCGTCGCCGCGAGGCTTTCGCAGTCGGCGTCCGTGGCGACGTCGCTACTGAAGGTCACGAGGTCGGCGCGGGTCACGTGCTTGTCGCTCGCCACCTCGACGTCCTGGCGTCGGCGTCGCGCGAGGTCAGGCGCTCGACCCGGGACGCCGGGGGAGGCGGGCCTGCGGGAGCGGGGTTTGAGTCGCATGCGACTTGCGCCTTTATGTGTTTTACAAAGCAAAAAGTAACAGTAAAAAGTAAAAGGCGACGATCAAAAATAGGAGCAGAAGCGCTCGAGAATTAATAACTAGCACGGGAACCGAAGCATCATCTAAAGTCAATGTGTCGCTATTTACAAAGACTAAGCAGCAGTGATAAACTAATACCTGATGTAGCCTCATAGATGGCGTTGGACCCCTTCCTGACGGTCACCGCGGGGGGCGCGTCCACCCCAGCGAACCAGACGCGACACGGTGACCCAGCTTGGCACTCCAGAGTGGCCGCGGGAGGGGGCGAGGGGCCGGCCAGCGTGACCTCGTACGCGCCCCCCGATCGAGGGTCGACCGCCACCTGCAGGACGTCCTGGAAGAGCGAGAGCGCGGCCACGCCGTGCACTGCGGGCGCGAGGAGGCGCTCGTTAGCTGGCCCTTGAGTCAAGGACGGGAAGGACACGAAGGACCTCTCCTCTTTGCGAGAAAGAAGGCCTTGTGTCTCCGCCTTTTAAACACATATATTACTTAATTATTTATCTATCATTATTACTAGTTTTCTTTTCTTCTTGTGGTTTATGACAACGGTGGATATATCTGTAAATGACGGTCAGCCTACCTCGAGGACAGTATTAAGGAACAAACTCACAAGCCAAATTACCATCAAACTCTTATCATTCAAATGTATGATAAAACTGTAGCTTCACTTCGTGCAGATTCCTGCCACTAATAAAGTGTTTTAAATTCTATTTCAGTTCACTCATTTTTGGAAAAAGTAAGGCTAACGGTAATAACCATTATGATACTAGTACTTATGATAATAATAAGGAAAGTAATGATAACAAATGAGAGTGAAAAGCCTTAACAGCACCACAAGCACCTTCAAAGGGCACGGCGAGCGACGCCGTGACGTAGCCTTCGTCGTCCAGCACGACGAGCGTCACGTCGAAGCCGTCCAGGTCGTCGGCGACGGCCACAGGGTGCGCGCACGTCCCGTCGCCCAGGTCGTCGCAGCCGAAGCCGTCGGGAGACAGGATGGAGTCGTCCCGCGCGCTGGAGACCACGACCTCAGTCCACGCTCCGTCGGGCCGGGGCTGCTGCACTCGCAGCTCCTGCCGGTTGCGGAGCTCCAGGGCCGGGACCTCGGCCGGGTCTGGGGGGAGGGGGGCGTGAAAAAAATAGGGGCAGGAGTCTGGAGATTGTCGTTTTTCTTCTCTTATTTTGGGTGTACATATTCCACTTGTATTATATTAGCCAATTTTAAAAATGTATAGATAAGGTTGGTATGGAAATATTAGGTATTTCTGGGCAGAAAAGGGAACTTCTTTAAGACCAAATTAAACCTAGACAAATTTCCTTTGTCGTAATAGCAGTATAGATTTTATTTCGTTTTCCACAGGATGAGAACGCCCCTTTGGAGTAAAGGAATGTAAAGTAGAGGAATGGGAGAGAAATGTGAATACAACACAGACATGTACGGACGGGTCATCGCCACGCTAAACAGAAAAACAGGAAGAAAACGGGAGCTGCCGAGGCCAGGCGAGAGGCCACGAGCCAGGCCACGGCGCCCTCCCTCAGCCCGCTGCCGAGTTCCTCCCAGCCCCTGCCGAGGCCACGGCGCCTTCCCTCCCAGCCCCGCTTCCCTCCCACCCCGCTGCCGAGGCCACGGCGCCTTCCCTCCCCCGCTGCCTTTGCCTCCCTCCCAACCCCGCTGCCGAGGCCAGGCGCCGCCCGCTGCCGAGGCCAAGCCCGCTGCCGAGGCCACTCACTCTGCACTTCCGACACCACGGCGTCGCAGAATCTGATCTCGGGAAGGTCCTCGCAGAGGGGAGGCGGGGGTCGCTCTGGCCGACGTAGTAGCAAGGGCCAGAGCCTCTTACGCAGGGAGGCTTCCCAGGGACTTCCACCTGGCCTCGCGCCCCTGGGTCCACCTCAGGGACGGGGCGCTGGCGTCCCCAACCTTCGCCACCCTGGAACCCGGGTCTGTGAGGGAAGGGAAGAGATTCGGGGATAGATACAGAGGAATGTAATTTTCGTTTATTTATTTCCACTTTGGTCTTCTTTTTTTCAGGTGACCCATTTGATTCCTTGCAGTAAACTTATTTTTGCAGCAGCTTTAAGAGCAGTTTGCGTTTACATGACCACGTGAACAGCTGGAAAATGAATTCCTACGCAGCATTAGAACTCTTCCAAGAGACACTTCCTCACCTGTCATCTCCTGCGTCACGGAGCCAAATCCCACAGTAACACCGCCTTTCATAGCTTTTATAAAGACCTGAATCGAATCTTTGAAATTCCCTTCGAACTCAAGCTCTGTGGCATCTTCATCAATGATTTTAGAAAGGTGATGAATTTCCTGAAACCCGTTGGATCCCACAATTAGTTCAAGCTGGAAATCGTCTGCCTCTATTGCTTCATGAGGATCCAAGAAAACCCTCATGTTTTGTCGTCTTCCGCTCGGGTCGTCTTCCCTGGACACCTTCTGGAGCTCCTTGATGGTGAGATGAACTAGTGCTGCATGTGGCTTCATTTCTGAAAAATAAAATACTGTTCATACATACACATACCTATACACACTTTTTTCATATATTGCTGGAATAAAGGAAAGGGATCTTCTTATCGACACCGTATCATTAGTTTCATTTCTTGAAGGTTGTTACAACCCCAATGACAAGAAAAAGGAAGGCAGAGGTTTGTTAAAGTGATAAAGTATCTATCTGCTCACTTATCATTATTGTTATTGTCATTATTACCATCATGGATGACGGAGGTTGGTCGGGAGGGGCAGTGTTGCCATTTCCGCTAACTCTAGCGAATTTGAATGTAATTTGACGGGGAAAATTAAGAAATTCGCAAGAGTAACCCGATTTTTTCTTGTTAAATCAATTGGGAGTTTTAGGGGCTATAATGCAGAATTTTTAGGTAAGCTTAGCGGATTCTTTAAAGAAAAAAAGAAAGAAAAAAGGATTAGAAACAACATGGTAACATAGAGAGTTAAACTTGAATTAAATGTATTATTTGAAAATATATAGCAAATGAAAAACGGAGAAAGTGAAGTGGTATGTAAGACAACAGCAATTTGCGAAGATGGAAACTCACCCGAAACGAAGAGCTCAGCGTCTCCAGACAGCAGAATTTCCTGGGTGTCGAGATTCTCACGTGACACAAGAACCCGGACCTTGTCACTAAGGTTGAAGTCAAGGTTGAGAGGCAATGGGCCTAGACACAGCTTTTCCTCGACATCAGAAACGGATGTGTGAGAGGACTTCGACACCATCTGCCGACCATTAGCATCCACCGCCACGAACTTGTTCACCATCTTTCCTCCTTCGTTTTGTTTTTTCTTTGCATGATTCTCCGTAAAACACACGTTAAGACCTCTTGTTTCCTCGGTTGTGGTCAGTGTCAGTTCTGTTATGTTTATTGCTGTGTGACGTTGGAAGAAAGACAAGACACCACATAGAGATTACGTTACTGGATGCATGTACACTATGCTATTCCACAAAGATCAGTTATATTGGACATTAAGCACAATTATAAGAAAAATACAGCGTGGGAATTGGTCTTAAGAAAATATACACTCGTTTAGAGATGGAAAAAAAGGAATATAGAGTGTGACAATTGGTGATACAAAGAGCTACAAAGTACTAAGCACACTTACTTTCCAGAACAGGCTGCATCCTCACTGAGGCCGAAACATATTTATTGTCACCTTGTGCTCTCACACTTGCTGTATAATCTTCATTCAAATTCAGCGTGAAAAAGTAAGCCAGGCACATTTTGCTGTCTTCAGGCTCTTCACCTCCACAGATCACTGAAGTCTTGTTGAATTTGACTTCAATTTCAGGACCGATTTCGACGTCGTATTCCTGATTTTGCGAAGCTCGCCAACGGACTTCGATGGCGTCCGATGTCAGCTGTTGAATTCGAGTCTGGAAATCTGTAATATTTGTGGTTTTGGGGCAGTGATAATTTTTAGATTGTAGAATCATCTTAAACTGCATTCAACCGTTTATATACGAATTTATGTTCTCAGCCAAAATTAAAGAAAATAAGGTCCCTTTACAAAAGAAACTGTAGAAAAATAATCACCTTCAAATTCCACAACGGTCGAGTCTTTCACAGTTGATTCGGAATCTAACGCCATCAGCAAAATCTTAAATTCCGTCACTTTTGGCTCAACCTTAAATGTGCAGGTCTTTGGAGACCGGCCTGTGATCTCACAGGTTAGCGGATTCGGTGTCAGATCCTCGGAGTTTGTGTAGAGTTTCGCTTCCATTGTGAGCGACGTTTCGGAGAAGTCAGCGGTGATCATCAGGTCCTCCTCAGGCACTCCGGTGAAACTGAGTTGAACCGACCGCTCGATCAGAGCTGTGAGAGGGGGAAAATTGTTGTTCAAACATCTTATCTATGGTCATATCAATTTTCTAAGGTTACAGCGGCAATGCTTAGTATTAGATTGTACTCCTCCCATGTGGCTTTTGCGTTTCCCTTACCAACATGGTTACATTTTGGTTCTTGGCGTAAACCTACACTCTGGCTGTATGTATGCTGCCGTCATGTCACACTGCTCGATATTCGGGGCGGCCATCCTGCAGACTTCGGGAGGCTCCAGGATGTTTTCTGGCTCCAAATAGTAGCAGACTGTGCTGGCTGGACACAGGAAGCCGTTCACTTTGACATCCATTTCTCCCGTCTCCACTTTGAGGGACTGGAGGGCCTCTGTCCCCTTTCGTCATCCGAGGGAGCAATATCTGGAGGAAGATGGGAAGGAATGTGTCTTATGATGCTTGTGTTAGCCATGTCTCAATCATGATAGTAAGGAGCGCACTGACAAACAAAGATCAAGTAATGTTGAAAACAATAATAATCATATCATTTTCAAAGCAATCTTGATCATTAACAATGCGTTCATCTTTATAGTCGTCTTATCCCGCTCACCATCACCATCTATGGCAAGAGAATCATGTGTAAAAAAATCACATCTTTCCCGAAGGCCAGTATGAATAACAACACATGCTTGTGTTTAAGACTTTAGCATTACAGGTTTTGTGATCCAGAGGTGAACAAATTACATCTCAAAACCCAAGATAGAGGTGCGCGTGCCAATCGTACCAAAAAATGATACATTATTCCTTTACCATAATTAATTTAATTTGTTTAATCTTTGATTGTTGTACAGAATGGATGAATGGCTATTTATACATCCTATAGAGCAAAGAGCCACACATGAGTATTTTTTTTTTATGAGATGGAAGCTTCATATTGGAAACTGTTATAGACTAATGGATTTTTTGCCGCTAAAGCCATTGATTATGTGATTAGTATTGATTTCCATTAAAATACCTCACCTTTTCCTCATAGCATGCGTTAGTGGTGGCATTGCAGACGTCAAACAAGTGAAAGAGTGCCACGTAAAACCACAGTTCCTAAACCAGAGGAAGAGCAGAGGCCCTTACCTAAGAGGGTCACGTGCGCGCGGCCGGCCTCCAGCAGGGCCCCGTCGTCGTCGTATCCCACGACCAAGAAGTTCCAGTCTCCTGCGCCGCGCGAGGAAACAGCCACGGAGTAGCCGGACCCCGAGGACGTCGCTTCGAGGCTTTCGCAGTCGGCGTCCGTGGCGACGTCGCTACTGAAGGTCACGAGGTCGGCGCGGGTCACGTGTTTGTCGCTCGCCACCTCGACGTCCATCTTGGCGCCACGTGAAGTGAGGCGCTGGACCCGGGACGCCGGGGAGGCGGGTCTGCGGGAGTGGGTTTGAGTCGCTGGTTTTTGGACGGCATGTGACACGCACTTCACCTTCATGGCTTATACAACGGCAAGGGTAAAGGCTCTAAGGGCGACGATCAAAAATAGGACCAGCAGCGCTCGAGAATGACTAAATAGCACGGAAACTGAAGCGTCATCTAAGGTCAATAAGAGTCGCTTATTACAGAAACTAAGCAGTTTGAGTAATGAGCTGTAATACCTGTGGATATATCCTCATAGATGGCGTTGGATCCCTTCCTGACGCTCACCGCGGGGGCGCGTCCACCCCAGCGAACCAGACGCGACACGGTGATCCAAGTTGGCACTCCTGAGCGGCCGCGGGAGGGGCGAGGGGCCGGCCAGCGTGACCTCGTATGCGCCCCCGATCGAGGGTCGACCGCCACCTGCAGGACATCCTGGGAGAGCGAGAGCGTGGCCACGCCGTGCACTGCGGGCGTGAGGAGGCGCTCGTTAGCTGTTCCTTGAGTCCGGGACGCGAAGGACACGAAGGACCTCTCCTCTTCGCGAGAAAGAAGGCCTTGTGTCTCTCCGCATTCCGCCTTTTGACACAGACATCTGATGTTTGATCCTTTGTTTATCTGTTATGACTACTAGATTCTTTTTTTATTACGGTCTCCTAAACCGGTTTTAGCGTATTTTTCCTGTTGCTGATGACATAAGGATACTAGCAAATAAGATGGAAAAGCCTTAACAGCACCACAAGCACCTTCAAAGGGCACGGCGAGCGACGCGTGACGTAGCCTTGGTCGTCCAGAACGACGAGCGTCACGTCGAAGCCGTCCAGGTCGTCGGCGACGGCCACAGGGTGCGCGCACGTCCCGTCGCCCAGGTCGTCGCAGCCGAAGCCGTCGGGAGGCAGGATGGAGTCGTCGCTGGAGACCACGACCTCAGTCCGCGCTCCGTCGGGCCGGGGCTGCTGCACTCGTAGCTCCTGCCGGTTGCGGAGCTCCAGGGCCGGGACCTCGGTCGGGTCTGGGGGGAGGGGGGGGGCGTGAATACGAGGGACAGGAGTCTGGCAGAACGTTGGAAGGAAATCAAGACAACTTGCTCAATTACCATAGGCAAGAGTATAGTTCATACTGTGTAACAATTTATAAAAAGA